TGGTACGGGCATGGCTACACATGGTAATACATGGCAGTACATCATAATACATGGCTATATATGGCAATACATCGTAATACATGGTAATACATGACAATACATGGCTACACATGGTAATACATGGCAATACATGGCTATACATGGTAATACAAATCTAGATATGGCAATTTATACAGTTCTTGATACACTTAAATAACCCTACTTAAAGTACCTACCAAATTTTTGCAGTACACTCACGCCACTGATCATGCAAACTAGCAGGCACCAGCTGTACACAAAAAAGATCGATTACAAGTAAGGATTGAATCGCTATGTCTTCGCAAGAAGAAAGTTTTTTTGAAGCAGAAAGTGAAAAATCAAGAAGTGAAGATGAGACCATCGAGGTAGAAGTGGTCGTAGGAGAAACAGAAAACAACATACAAGACGATTCGCTTGAGCCGTACCGATACAAGCCTTTAGCTGATGATCAATGGCTGTAAAACTGCCGGCGTGAACTAGCCAAAAGAGACCAGTTGGAAGAACTTAGAAGAGCTGGAAAAGCGTCTTGAAAACGGCGTTCGTGTGGTTTACTGGTAAGTTTTCTTGATAGTTGTCCGGGCTGCTGCTTCAAAAGTTCAACAGCAACAAAAGAACTACATATACATTAAAATGTTTGTTACTGTGTGCAGTTGGGAAACAAAGGTTTTCAATGTCACTAACACGAGGGCATATTATTTCACTTATAAACAGCTTTTGGGAAGTCATTTTAACATCTTCTAAATGTGGCAAGTCAAAACCCTTCTGAAGTGTTCTCCGAGAAGACACAACATACACTCAAGATGGCAGATAGAAATCTACACACTTTATTCCAGTAGGCATGCGCTAAATATAACCACTGACCTGATGCTACATCCCCGTTTTTTTTAAGAAACAAAGAAAACTGAAATTACTGAATTTAACAATCGAACCGTAAAAATGAAGAAAAAGGAAACAAAAAAGAAACACGAGACAATGCTGCAACGAGAGCAATGTGTCCTTTCATGAAAACTGAAAAGAGAAAGCTTAAACGACAACTGAAGGGACTCCATATCTCGTGAACTGGGATTTAAGAGCTGTATTTACTCCGGTGCTTGTCATTGATGGGAGTAAAGTCATTTCTGGTTACTTGGAGTAATAATCAACAGTAACGAGGTAGTTCCGACCATTCTTGTGCAGAATATCTGTGCCAACCTTAGCCCAAGGCTATGGTGGAATCTCGTGCGACTTCAGTGGTTCAGGCTGCTGACTTGGTCGTTTTTCTAGACATACAGGACAGTTTTTAATCTTCTTGGTTATCTCCACACTCATCCTGGACCAGAACAATACGTCCCGCGCTCTCGCTATTGTCTTGTTGATACCCAGGTGTCCCTCATGCAGTTTCTCAAGCATCTCTCCTCTCAAACTACTTGGTACAACAATCTTTTGTCCCTTAACGATCAGTCCCTGGGCTACCGTTAATTCATCAGGGTAATTCCAAAACTCCTGTGCATTGGGTGGGACTTGACCTTTGGAATCTGGCCAACCCGACAAAATAACTTGTTGCAGGTCAGACAAAATCGGTGGAGACACGATTGGACGGGTCACCATAACGGGTCACCATACTATCCAGGGCATTTTCTAAGACCTCTCTGGTATATATAAGGAATTAACAAAGAAAAGGATAAGTTACTTTCACACTCAACTGAAATAGCTAAGGTTTATAGCGCCTTGATACATGTAAGACAAGTTATTAAAACTTTGATCATGGTGACACGATTGTTTGCTGAAAGAAACTTATAAATATCTTAATTGATTTAATGTACGGTGACCCGTGTACATGTCGAGTATAACGCTTTTCTTTGAGGTTTTAAGGATAGGTAGCGTCCTCGTTTGATATGATTCATGTTGTGTACCTCAAATCCCACATTTATGGCACAGTAGTTTGTTTTAGGAAAGTGTATATTTGGGGTAAAGAATGAAAACCGATGTCACCATTTGGCGCAAGGCCAAATTAACATATGTTGTAAACAACGTATAAAGAGTTGTCGATTTCACAGCAGTAGCCTGGAATATCATTAAGAAACTTTTGGGCGTCGGACCAAACAGTTACACTATTGTTGGACACCCTTTTTACGCGCCTGTAGTCAATAGTATCTTTAGAAATTTAGAAAGCGGGATACTGTTCTCGCTGATACGTTTTGGGAATAATCCTGGCTTGTTGCATTTTCCTCTAAACTGGAGAAAAAGTTTCCCTCTTTCTCTCGGCATCGCTCTTTCAGCTGTCTTTCGCCTCTTGCCGTTAAGTTAGAAAGGCGACCCTTTGAGCCTTGTTCCTATACTCTTTCTTGGCAAAGAGACCTTCTTTATTATTGTCCACACATTTTTTCTAGAAATGTGGCACATTCGAGCGCCTCTCCGTATAGGAAAAGCCCGAATCTTACGTAGATGGTATGCTGCACGTGCTATGTTGTCACGCTATCAATCGGCCACTAGAAAGCTATTTGTGTACGGTTTATTGCACACTCAGTTCCCTTTATTTCCAATACTCTACTCTGCTCAAGAAATTTCTGCGAACTGGTCATTCTTTGTGTTATGCTGTTGTGCCCAAATAACTTAGTTCACTGCTATAGAAACGTTCGCAAAACACAATGGACGCCCAACAAACCAAAAGCCCGTCCCTTGTGGCCGACCTACATATTAACCTCCGTTTCTGTCAACACGCCTTCAAATTCCTCCCCGACACACTCTCAGACAAAAATAGTTGCGACACTTAAACCAAACGCTGTTTTTTCCCTTCTCGTGCTCACCTCGTCCCCCTCAAAGTTGTTTATCGCCGTTCGGTCACCAAATCTGGTACACCAACATTGAGGGGACAAGGAGACCCCAAAGAGTCCCAACCATTTTGACTGAGACTGTCGGTATTTTCAGAATTAAATTGAAGATCCCCTGGCATGATACTTCCCCCAACTTAAAAAATTTGTTTTGCGGGGGTGATATAATCAGTAAAATTACTGGATGTATCTTTAATTTCAGAGGCTAAGGAAGGTCCTATTTATAACCCCTTCTAACCCACTGTAAACCCTTGTAATCCTTTTTAATGCTTTGTAAACCCCTTGTACCCCCTTGTAACCTCTTGTAACCCTCTGTAAACCCCTGTAACCCCTTGTAACGTCTGTAACCCCTTTTAACCGCCTGTAACCCCCTGTAACCCCCTGTCACCCCTTGTAACTCCCTGTAACCCTTTGTAACCCACTGTAACTCCCTGTGATCATCTATAACCCCTTGTAACCCTCTGTAACCCCACTTAACCCCTTGCAACCCCCTGTAACCCCTTGTAACCCCCTGTCACCCCTTGTAACCCCCTGTAACCCGTTGTAACCCTCTGTAACCATCTGTGAACCTCTGAAACCCGTTGTCATCCCCAGTAATTCTTTGTAACCCCATGTCATCCCTTCGAACCCCCTGTAACTGCTATAACCCCCTGTAGCCCCTTGTAACTCCCTGTCAGCTCTCGTAACCCCCTGTAAACTCTTGTAACCCTTTTTAAGATCTAATAACCCTTTGTAACCCCCTTTAACCCCCCTGCAACTCCCCCCCTGTAACCACTTGTAACCGCCTCGAACGCCCTGTCATCCCTTCTAACCTCCTGTAACACCTTGTAACCCCTTGTAACACACTGTAACCCCTGTGATCTTTTATAACCACTTGTAACCCTTCGTAACCCCCCTTCACCACCTGCACCTCCTTATAACCCCCTGTAACCTCTTGTCACCTCTTGTAACCCCCTGTAATGATTTGAAACTCCTTGTAACTCCCTATAAACCCTTGAAACCCCTTTTAATCCAGTGTACCCCCCTGTCATCCCTTCTAACCCCCTGTAACACTTTGTAACCCCTTGTAACCGCCTGTAACCCCCTGTAATGCCTTGTAACCAAGTGTAACCCAAAGTAGTCCCTTGTAACCCCATCTAACCCCTTGTAACCCCCTGTAAAACCCTGTATCCTTTCGAATGCCCTGTAACTTCATGTAACCCTTTGTAACCCCATCTAACCCCTTGTAAACCACCGTAACCCCCTGTAATCCTTTGTAACCCGCTGTGATCCTTTACAACCACTTGTAACCCTTCTTAACCCTTTTTAACACCCTGCAACTCCTTGTAACACCTTGTCACCCCCTGTAACCCCGTGCCACTCCTTGTAACTCCCTGTAACCCCTTGTAACCCCCTGTAACGTTTTGGAACTCCTTGTAACCCCCTGTAAACGCTTGAAGCCCCTTGTAATTCAGTGTAACCCCTTGTAACCGCCTGTAACCCATTGTCATCCCCTGTAACCCTTGTAACACCGTGTAACCCCCTGTAACCCCCTGTAACGACTTGTAACTCCTTGTAATCCAGTGTAACCCCCTGTAATCCCTTATAACCCCTTGTAATCCTTTGTAACCCTTTGTAACCTTTTGTAACCCCCTGCAACCTCCTGTAACCCCCTGCAACCTCCTGTAGCTCTCCTGTATCCCTTTGTAACCCCCTGTCATTCTTTCTTACCCCCAGTAAAACCATTTAACACCTTGTAACCCTTTGTAACCAACTGTAACCCCTGTAATCCTTTTTAACCCTTTGTTAACCCTGTAACCCCTTGTAACCTAACCCACTCTAACACCTGTGATCCTTTATAACCACTTGTAACCATTCGTAACGCCCTTTAACCCCCTGCAAGTGCCTAAATTGGTCCCAAGCTGTTCGAGAATATTGAAGACATTGATACTTGTTTCGATGAATTTGTAAACCAGTCTATCTCGGGCATCTTCAGTTTTCAACAAATAAGTCCATCTCTGAGTTCGTCTCACTTACGTAAATTCTGCATGAGTAAAGCCACTGGACTTGATACAGTTTCCGCCAGACTTCTGAGAGAATGCTTCGATCTAATTTCTGACTATCACTCACTTTCAATCGATACATTTCTTTTAGATTCGTGTACCGGAGAACTATAAATTGTGGCACGAGACCATGTGCAGTGGGTCCTTTTTGAATACAGGAAAGTATGACCACTTCGTTTTCATGGATGAACGAGGATTCATATACCACTTACACCTAATTGCAATAACGTTGTCATAGAAAAAAACAAAAAGCAAAAAGCCAAATAGGAATTAATAAGCCATGTGATTTACATTTGCGTATTTTAATAATTTAACGATTATTTAAGAAGCCATTCACAATAATATACACTTAATGTCAGATCCCGAGGGAAACAGTTAGTTTTGTTTTCCCTCAAGTTCTGATGTTTCCCTCGACTTTGTCTCAGGAAACATCAGGACTCGATGGGAAACAAAACTAACTGGTTTTCCGAGGGACCTGACTTTAAGTCTTTTGTTATATTTCTAGACTTTCACGTCAACAGCATGAAGTGTTTGGCCTTGTGATAACTTCCCTCTATCAGATTAAAATCCGGGCTGTAAGGTGGAAGGTATCTGACCAAAGCTCTGGCACCATATACAACGCGGTGGTCTGGAAAACGTGAGGACCGAGAGGGGGGCTGGGGGCGAGCACCGCGTTCTAATCGCGGGAAATATGTAGTTAAGATCAACAACGCGATCATTTAGACTAATAGTCATCGTCTTGAAAACAGTAAAACGCTTTTCACCTTTCCCTACAAGAATGACTCAAAACTCATTTAAGACTTTACAGGAAGCTTTGCTCCTTAGTCTGGAAGAAAAGCTAATAGATGACGAAGAATTTGCCGTGCTGTATGAAGAATTCACTCCACAAAACCTTCCGTTTCGCCACTGGGATTACGAAAAATCAAAACGAAAACAAAGACCCCGGAGAGTGTAAGGCATACTTCAGATTTGAAAAGAGTGACATCTCATTGCTGGTGGATGTTTTACAGATGCCTGACACCTTCTCATGTCCGAATGGTACCGTTTGTGATTCAACAGAAGGACTTTGTGTTATACTATAGCGCTTCAGCTATCCATGTAGGTTGTCTGATATGATTTCTACTTTTGGTCGATCAGTAGCCGAGCTCATCATGATTAGCAATAAAGTCACTGAATGGATGTACAATGTTCATGGCGATAGGATTACCGAATGGAATCATTTCATTATGTCTCCTAACCTACTGCAAACTTACTCTGAAGCAATTCATGACAAAGGTACCTCCTTGGACAACTGTTTCGGCTTTGTTGATGGAACGGTTCGTCCCATATCAAAACAAGGGGTCAATCAGAGAGCTGTTTACAATGGCCACGAGCGTGTTCACGCTCTTAAATTTCAATCCTTGGCCCTGCCAAATGGATTGATTGACCATCTGTTTGGACCAGTAGGTAAGGGTATATTCATTCATTTTTTATAGTGGGATAGTACCGTAGCTGTTTTTACTTGGAGAGACATTTTTATCACTTATGTGAACTTAAAAGTGAGATTTATTTCTTATCTCATAATGTTAATCTGACGTTTCTTGATGACTCCCTCCTGGTCTCTCAAATCAGAGGTATTTTCAGTAGCTCCCACTCCCAATTGTTATTAGAGGAAATGGTTGTCCTTTCACCACAGACAAATATATTATAAATTCTGACTTATAGGCCATGAGTACCTGGACTGTAAGAATAAGAGCCAGCCAATCCAATGTTGTTTTTGGCCCACTCAATTAGTAAGCTAACAATGGTCTCTATAGGTAAAAGTTTGTCAGCCAGCCAATGTTTGACTGATTGTGGTTCAAAAATTATTTTTTTGGCTCTTGTTCAGAAAGGGACGAATGCATGATGCGAGAATGCTGGATACATCTGGCCTCTATGTTGACCTAGCACAGTTCGCCTTTTCCTCTGCTGGACAGGAGCTGTGTATCTACGGAGATCCGGCATATCCTCTACGTACCCATCTACAGTACCCCTTCAGAAATGGTGTGTTAACAAGACAAATGGAAGAGTGTAATGCATCTATGAGTTCTGTACGTACAAGTGTGGAATGGTTGTTTGGAGACCTTATAAATTATTTCAAGTTTCTCGATTACAAAAAAAATCTCAAAATTGGCCTTAGCCATGTAGGAAAAATGTACATTGTTTGTGCACTTTTGCGGAATGCTTTAACATGTCTCTACCGCAGTATGACTGCTGACTTCTTTGGCCTTGACCCACCATCACTAGTCGATTACTTTAGCTAAAATACTGTAACAAAAACACCTGTCAATGCCTAAGCTTACATAAAATCTTGCATAAAATCCTGATTGAACAGTTGTTGTGTGTTATTTGCAGGGAATGTAACAACAAGCAGATCTAAACAAAGGGGTGGCAAATAATGCTCTGAGTTCAACATTTTGTAAAAATGTAAATCTTAAACATGTAAACATCTAGAAATAGAAATTTAATATCTACTTGTTAAGCATTTTACTCATGACGTACATGACCTGCTGCATCATGAGCATTTGTTGCTGCTGGAACTGTTGCTGTTGTTGCTGAAACTCCTGCTGTTGCTGTTGATTTTGCAGTTGTTGCTGGTGCATTAGCTTCAGCATATCAGCCTGTTGTTGTTGCACCTTAAGTTGTTGTTCCTGTCTTCCCTTTTCCAGCTCAAGTTCCTTTTCTCTAATTTCTGCACTGTGCTGTGCTCTTTCCTTTACAAACTCCATGGCGTCTCCAGTTTTTCTTCTTGTTCGTTTTGGTTTGTCCTCACCCTCTTCGGCTTCCTCTGACGCCCTTTTTTTGGTTTGGGAAAGCCTTTCCATAGCTTTCATTCTTACATCTCCTGCTTTAGCTTTGTCAACTTTATCCTTACTACATGTATCTGTGGGAGCACTCTCTTCAAGCGCAATAATTTGCTGTATTAGCTCATCTGGGGATATTCCTGATGCTCTTTCTTCAGCTCTAATTTTTTTCTTGTACTTGTTTACCAAGACATTGATGTGGTCCCGGATGGCTCTGTGGTCGACATTAAATTGTGGAGAAGCACATTTGTTTAGAACATCTACAATTTCTTTCAAGTTTCACTGCGTTGGGGAGACCCCTTTTTGTACATGTAGGGTTTTTCTCTGCACAGTATAATGTTGTGCTGTTCAGTCCAGTACATAACATTGCTGTGTGAAAACAAAAACAAAGAGAATACTAGAATAAAATTCACTCCAAAAAAACCCTTCCTTTTGAATTGAAACTACATGCTGTTGTTAATCTCAAAGCTAATTTTATGCTTGTTCAAAAAAGTGAGATTTGTCTTTAATGACGTTTAAAGCTCACAAAATAAGGAGCGGCCTTGCTGAGCGAGAGAGACCTCACCCATAACTTACACTTTCAGGAATAACAGCAGCGGAATAGTGCATTCAAAGCCTAATGTTGATAATTTAAAAGATTCACATTACCAAAGCTTCATTTGAGATAGGCAACATCATCTAACTTCAAATACAATCTCTTTTTAGTTCTAATTTTTTCTTGGTTTGTTTTCAGTTCAGAGTATTATGTGAAACACGGCTCATTAGTAACAATTTCAAAGAAATAAAAAAATGGAAAAAACACAATAGCAGAAATGTCAAAGTCTTAGCTTTCGAAATGCTACGCTTTATGACAGTAGTCAAGGTAATGAACTTATGTTTCCTCTTATAGTGGGCGATTTTTGAAAGTCAGCTTCAATAAGCTTTGTTTAGTTGAGTTTTAATCACACTCAATATCAGGAAATGCAATTTCAGATCATCATGAATTATCAAGCCTGGATCTAGTACAGACTCAACTGATAAACAGAATAGTCTTAGCTAAATTATTTATGAAGCTAAAATCGATCATCCGTTGATGGAACAACCGATAAAGTTTTATTCTGATATTTCACATCGGCGCGCGTTGGGTTAATAAAAAACAAAACGAAGACCAAGTAGAATGATAAGACGCCTGACAACTAAATTGTATCATGCACGAAAATAGCTGCATGAATGTAGTGATAATTTCCTTCTACTGTGAACGAAAATGAGATTTTGGAAAACATTTCAAGGATAATTAGATTACTTACTTTGAAGATCTGCTCGACGCCATTGACTTCACCATATGCTTGCTCACCTGGAGTGAGCAAAACGTTTTAAACTATTCAACTTTGGTCCTTTTAGTTTCAAAAATGATGCCTAACCTTTGAAGAGGCAATAAACTTTTAATTCCAATTGACAGAATAGTTGAGATAGACTGTTAATTATAGTGATTTGCTTTAAATAACAAGGCTAAATACTCACGTTTTCCAGACGACGCCAAATCTCTTCAGGCCGCGTTCTCGAGAGCGGGAGAAAACGCCACGCACATGCGCTCTTTATCCGAAATTGGAAAAGTCACTTCCGGTCGCGTCTCCGACCCACCGCGTCCTCGTTTCTTAAAGTCCCTAATTTCTTCCACTTCGGCAACATGAACTGCTTGGTTGTCCAAAAATACAAAAACAAAATTTTAATTTTAATCTCTAAAAAGATTTTGAGCAACTGTCTAAGAGAAAAATTCATTTCTTATGAACAATTTATTACCTAGCACAAACACAGAGCGAGCGTTTCTCCCACTGTATGGATTGAGAAGGGGCACTATATCATTACGTAGAAAGTCAGCAAAAACAATGCGATTGAATCTCTGGCCTGGATTGAGTACTCGGATGCCGAGGTATCCATCGTGAGCAATAGCAGATATTGCTGTAATACGTTGGCTAGTTGTTCTTGTCCTTATCACCTCAGCCCGCTGCCCTTTCTGTGAATAACCGTATTGTCTCGATAAGGTTCTGTCCTGGAGAAAGATAAGATCAGAAAAATTAATGAACGGGTGGAAAGAATGTTTTATACAAAACAAGTCTTTTTCTAACAAACAATCGACTCCGAGAAATTATAAAAAAAGCAACACTTATAATTCCTGTCGCATCAATAAAATTGAGTTCATGAGGCAAATGATTCACCATATCAGCTTTGAATTAAGCACGTAGGTCGTCTCTTCCCTGAGCTGCAATTTCTTTTATCTGTGGACAATCAGAAGCAATAGTACCTGTTGGAGAGAGAAAAAAGATTAGCAGTATCAGTAATGTTTATACTGACCTTCTTGTTAGTGAATCCAAGTCTGTGAAGTGCCCTACACTTTGTGGAAACATCAAACTCGGAGCCAGTGTGTTCCTGTATTGTTGAGGCCAGCTGATGTAACTGTGTGGCTGGCTCTTTGAGTATCGCCTCCATTATAATGTACAGCGGATTCAGGTTTAGCGTTTAATGACGTCAGTGATCGCGTTCGTTATCACGGTTGATTGGTTGCGTTGCGAGGCAAATTGTCAGACGTTGCTAGGCGGGGATGATATCGTTCTGTCTGAGAAAAGGCACGTTGTCTTATTGATCTGTGTGTCATGGCGATTGAAATCAAGATAGAATACTCCTACTATTCTACAAAAACAATAACTCCAGTATATATTGTCGAAGAAGAACTTATGAGCCTGGAATACAGCAAGTTCGTAGAACGCATTGTGAACGAGGTGCCCCATCTCCGAAGGATGAATTCATTGCGACTTACAGTAAAGGAAGATTAAACTGTCGACGAGGTAGATTTGTCCAGAAAGTCTTTAAGCTTGCAGATGAAAGGTTTGTTAGACAAAGGAGCTAAGAGTAGACTACGAGTAGTCCCCCATTTTTCCTCAGGGATAGTAGAGCGAGCGAAACGCGAGCGCGTGAAAATCACCCCACGCGAGAAAAGGCCCAAGCCCAAGCTTTTGACCCTTCACGGCCGACTGATTTTGGAGTGTTAAGTTCGTATCCCCTTCCAAATTAATTAAGCGCATCGAATGGGATTCCTTCCCTCATTGAGCTGTCATTGCTCTTGTCATCGGTAAACTGCGGGAGATATTAATTTTATTGCAAGCAAAAGAAAACCCAGATACTAATTTTCTTCACGGATGTTTCGCGTGAAGAACTTGATACATAAGCAACACACGACTTTTACTCATGCCAAAATGCTGCTTGTTCTAATGAATTGTTTTTCT